CTGCTGCGGAAATATCGATGAATATAGTTGAGCTTTTTATCTCTGACTTAAGTAAATGTTGAGTTAATTAGACAAATTATTGAAATAAGTTTAGCAATGAGGATAATTTCGATCTCCGTGAAATCTCAATTGTGTCTAGTGTATAAAAATTAATTGTTAACTAAAATAGGTAATGTTTTAAGGAATTTTCTAGAATGGCTAGTCCTTGAACTGTGAACACTGACTTTGCCTATTTTCTATCTATGGGTAGTGTACTTGTGTTTAATAGAGCATCTTCTGATTTTACACTCTGACGTCTAGCCACCGTCATACTCTCCATTAGAGCATCTACAATGAGAGTTGCTTATAAGCAATTCCCAACCACTTTAAATAGGTCTCATTGTGCCACATCACTCGTAAGCAACCCATATTATATTTTTATAATTTTTACTCCAATACAAATTTTGCTTATAAGCATCCCAACGTCTTTTTTTTTTTATTTCGTTCAAGTCTCACTTTTCCCTTTCTCTTTCTCATTTTTTGTTTCTCACCTTCCCTTTAACGTCTCTTTTTCTTCTCGCTTATTCTCACCCTTCACTCTCTCTCTCTCTCAAAGTTTCATCATGAAAGACCTACCCTGGTGAGACGTGTGGGCGGTTGAGGAGTCCCGGGCGGAGGTCTGGTTGGGCGGAGCTATGGACGGAGCTAAGGCTGTCTGGTCGAGCGGAGCGGCCCGCACCAGAGGAGGTTTGATTGGACGGAGCGGCCGGCGCCAGAGGAGATCTGGTCGAACAATTTTCGCGCGACGAAGGACCTCGGAGACGCGCGTGCTGCGAATGATTTTCGCCACCACCGCCATCCGCATGGCCGGCTTCGACTACCACACCACCACCGTCGTGCGCGGCCGGCTTCCATAATTACGCCGCCCCGAACGTGCTGCCGCTGCTCAGAACATGGCCATCGGAGGGGGGCCATTGAGAGGGAGGACTAGGGGGGGGAGGTTTATCTGTTTTTTTGTTTGCAAAAACACTGTCACTGTCATGTTCCACCTAGGATGAACAACAGCCAATCAAATCTTTTCATTTTAATTTTCAAAGTGTAAGCACTGTTGCTTCTCCAAGCAACGGTGCTAAAAAATTTTGGACTTGTTTTGCCATCTAGGATAACTCCAGTGGGGATTTCTTATAAACAACATTGCTTATTTTTAAGATACACCCTAAGCACCCCCCACTGGAAGTGCTCTTATATAACTCTAGGTAACAAGTTTGTGTTCCATTGGCCTGTAATTTTTTTTTTATATAATTATTATATTGATATGAAGTGTCTATTTATTATTTATGTTGGATTGTGAAGACATATAAAATTAGTATTTTTTTTGTTAATATAGTTTATTTCACTTTATATCATAGTTTGAATTTTACACATATTAATTAAAAGATACATTATTATCAATTAATATCTAGAATATCTTTCATCAGTGTAATTAATGTTTTAGCCTATTCTCATGATCGGAGAAATGTTTGATATGGGAATGATAACTAAAGGAGATTGTTCGATGCAAAATTTATCAAATTTGTCTTTGATGAAGTCATAAATTATTTTGAGTGTTTAGTTTAATCATTATTAAATTATATTATTTTTATAATTTTTTTTATAGATTAATTGATGTATAGATTATAATCTTATTTTAATTGTATTTAGTATAACTTTGAGAAATATCATTTCAAGTCTTGACATTTCATAAATTTGAAGAATAAAATGATATCACTTTTAATTTAAATCTAAGTTTCCACCCATATTTAATCAAATAACTTAAGGACAAGTTCTTACAATGGATAGTTCTAATAAATATAATAAAGAATATTTAATTATTATAATTAAATATTAATTTAGTTAAACATAATAAAGAATATTTTAACATTGGTAAAAAAGTAATAAAAAAAATTCACATAATTATTTTAATGTGTACAAAAATATTAAATATTAAAAACAAAGAAATTACATAATAACGAGAAATACACATATTATAAATAGAAAATGATAAATTATTTATAACAATAAATATCCACTAACTTTTGTTATTCTCGTGTCTAAAATATTATCAAATATGTTCTATCAAGTCATTTTGAAGTTGTCGGTGTTGTCTGTTACAAAGATGTATTCTCCTTTATAAGTATGTTACAGTAAAATAGGATTATGACCATTAAATTCATCGGTAAATGAGACTTATGTATTATTGTTATAATCAAAATTGATATTGTATGCGTGTTTCTTATCTTCAACAATTATATTATGTAGTATGATGTATGCATACATTATATTCTTCAATGTATTACCATGTCAACCACATCTTAGTTAATGTACAATTGTAAATAGAGATTGTAATACTCCAAAGGCCTGTTCCACATATTTTCTTGTTAATTATTGTCATTGGGTAAATAATTTTGTCTTTCCTCCTTGTCGCATAGGGATGGTCTTTACAAATGTAGCCACTCTGGATAAATACTATCGGCTATATAGTATCACATACTATATTGGATTATATTCACTATCTATTGTACAATAGGAGCTTGTCTTGACAAAATGTCATTAAACACATTTGAAATATTTAACGCATTAATGTCATTATTTGAACTTATGATACCAAAAAAGGCATGTCAAATCTACAAATCTTGTGATGTCAAAGCTTCAAGCATGATTGTAGGTTTGCTATGATCACCTCAACATGATTGTCCTTTCCAAACAACTGAACAATTTTTTCATTTTTAATGCATACAATCAATGGAACCTAACATACCTAGAAATCCACCTGCATTCCACATTTGAAGTAGTCGTTCAATGTCTTCATTTGTAAGCATCCTATTGTATTCATCGCCTAATGTATTTCACAATAGTACTTTCACCAATTCAAACATAACCATACGTACTATCAGTAGTTGATCCATATGCTAATATATGAATGAGAACAATGTATTTATGTAACGTTGAAAGACCCTTCTTCCGAATTGCATCAACCATCATTTGGAAATATCCATCATAATGACCAAGGATTTCTACAATTCAAAGGAACACATGTTTTTGCATTTGAAACCTTCATTGAAATTGAGCATATGTGTAAAATGAATTATTAAAGAAATAATCATTGAACAATCGATTGTGTACTTCTTCACGACACAATCTATGGTCATTCTAGTTTTCCTTTGACAAGTAGTGTTGTCAGATTGTTATTGTATCTCGAATATTATCCTTGTTATTTCTTTGTTAGTGTTATCTTTAAGTTTCTCATCTATAATTTGGTTAAAAAAAACATCAAATTTTGTGTCAAAATCCGTTATGTGGAAAACTCAAGTGTGAAGTTTGGGAGAGAATAAAAATGAGATTTTGATAAAAAGAATTGACAATGAGATGTAACAAGTTTGTATTGATTATATAATATCATAAATAGTGACTAGTTTGTAACGACTAGTTTCATAATCATAATTTAAAAATAAAGCTACAATTGATAAAGACCAATTTTAACAAAATTAGCCTAACTTGTAATAATTTAACAAATTTTAACCTAACTTGCAATAAAAACCAATTAAAATAAAATTACAATAATAACTTTTATCCTAATTTGAGCCTAATAAAGTTATAAGTTAGTTCATGATTTTCGAGTTGCTTCTCAATCATCTTGGATGTGTCCTTCATGAGGACTTTATATGTCTTACCAAAGTTAGTCGTCTCCTTCACTTCAGCTAATTGTTTTATTGCATCACCTTTCTTTTCCATTACTTTTGCTATATTATCAAACTCATTTTTATCGAAACATGTTCTGACAACCTTTGCTTTACTTTTTCTTTTTGGTGCCTTTTGGCCTATTGGATGACACATTGGTTTTGTTGAGTAATATTTTTCACAAATATTCAACGCATCTGTGCTAGAAGACATTGAGTCTTGTCTAAATTTAGAAATATTTGTTTTCTTTAAAGATCTCTCTACTGATTCAAATTTCCATTTTGGCCCATCATTTAACAACCACTATGCATGCTCAAAATTGAATTTGTCACCCACATCTTGTGAGTAAATCTTATTTGTGTCGCCTATGATGTCTTTCTCTAAGGTTCCACTTTTTCTTTAATCATGAGCTTGTTTGTAACAATCGACAAACAATTGAACTACTTTATTGATTTGAAACTATTGACTTTTCAACTAATTTAGTTTCCATTCTAGAAATTGACTGTGGTAGTTATTATGATTCTCCTTGATTCTTACCCAAAAATTATTTCCTATTTGATCAACTCTCACAATTGGATCCTTTGAAATGTTGAGCCACAATTGAATAAAGAGTGTGTCTTCTTCCACTAAAAAGCTAACACATGATTTTTCCTAAGCACATAATCCTTCTCCTTGTTGTGCATCTTCAAGTGTTATATTGTCTAACCAAACCTAAGACTTGGATATTAAACCAATTAGTGATTTTGTTTCCCTATCTAATCGTTCTACGCCTCTTTCAAAAAACATTGGAGGCCTATACCAAATAGTAGGGTTGGTTGGTGGTGATGGATACATAAAATATTAGGAATATAGGGAATTATCATCTCTAGAGGGTGGTGGTGGTGAATACATAAAATAGTGAGAATTTGGAGAATTATCATTGATATAAAGTGGTGGTGGTGGATACATAAAATAGTAAGGATTTTGAGAATTTTCACTAGAAGTAGGTATTGGTTTTGCAATTGCGTGAGGCGAAGGCATTGCTAACCCTGCACCATTTTGAACCCATGTGTGTGGCGTTGACGACATACTTGTGGGGGAACAAAGCATGGAAATTGGTGTGTAGAATCAGAGGAGGTTTATGTGCGAAGTGGGACATGATAATAATTGATGCACCGAAGGCACCAAGGAGGATAGCGACAATGTTCTCTATCGTGGTGATGGCATTGAACAGGAAAGGAAAGTAACGAGTGAAGTGAAGGGTGCAAGGAGGCTTTCACATTTTCAAATACCTCCTTCACATTCTAATTCATCGTGTTTCTACAACTAAATTCATTACTATAATCCTTTTTTTTTTTTTTAACACGACACGGCAGCTTTTTTTTTTTTTTAACACGACACGGCAGCTTTTTTTTTTTTTTAACACGACACGGCAGCTTTTTTTTTTTTTTTTTCTTTTAATCACGACATGCATGCTTTCTTGTTTTATGATTTTGTTGTTTGCGAATATGGAGACAAAAGGAATTGTTGGTGTGCTTGGTGCATTGTTTTCCCATTAGATTATTTTTTTATTCATAAGCAACCATCTCTTATATAATAAACGATATGCTTAAATTTTAGCAATCTAATTTATCATGTAAGTGTACTCTAATACAAATTTCTTATAAAGAATGAGAGTTTAAGTTTAAGATTTGAATAAATGCTTAATACTAATTATTAAAGATGTTTTAAGAGTGATTTGAGGATATATTGATAAAGCACGTACATTAATTGGTTCATCATTTAAGTCCAAAATTGAATTTAGAAAAAAAGTATTTTTAAAAAAAATAATTTATATGCAAAAATTTTCTAAAATCCTTAAAATAATTTTTAATTTTACAATTTTTAATAAAAAATTTAATTTAATATCATTTCTAAATCTTTTACATGAATTCTGCAAAATCAAAAATTTAATATTTGTAAAATAATTAATAAATTAAAACAATTTATCTAATATATCTTCATTTTCTCCTTTCATATTAGTTGTCAGAATTTCATAATTAATGAATAGATTTCATAACTTCTTGAAACGATAATAGATTTCAATAATCAAAATAAAAAATTTAATTTAGTATCAAATTTTTAAATAATCTCTTATCTCTCCCTCTCTCTACATATATATAATTTATTATTGATACAGCAGTTGAATGTATTTATTGAAAAAACAAAACAGAAGCAAAAGGGCATGAGGAGCCCAAATGAATGGGCTTTGCAGAAAACCCTAATTGGGCCGCCTCGTTTGAGTGTGTATAAGAACCCTAAAACTGATGCAGCTGCAGCCGTTTAGCACAGCAGAGAAGAACCACGATGGTTAAAGGACGGCAAGGAGAGCGCGTCAGGTTTGCGATCTAACTCTTCCCTTTGCTTCTCGCAAATGCATTATGCACTTTCATCAATATTTCTTAATGTCGTCGCAATTTTTTCTGCTGTGCCAGACTTTATGTCAGGGGTTCTATTCTTGGATACAAGAGGTGCGCTTTTCTCATGGATTAACTTCTGATCTTTTTTTTTTTTTTTTCAATCTTGAAATATGTGTAATAATAGTATCTATATGTGGATATTGGTTAGAGTTAGTAGGACTTCATTTGCCATAACTGTTAAGGAATTGATGGTGTTGTTCAGGTCCAAGTCGAATCAATACCCAAATACCTCTCTTATTCAGATTGAGGGAGTGAACTCCAAGGAAGAAGTTGCCTATTACTGCGGGAAGCGCATGGCTTACATTTACAAAGCAAAGGTTAAGAAGAATGGAACCCACTATCGCTGCATTTGGGGTAAGGTCACCAGGCCTCATGGTAACAGCGGTATTGTCCGTGCTAAGTTCAAGTCCAATCTACCACCGAGATCAATGGTAATTTCTGCTTCATAGAGTATTTGGTTTTTTGTTTTCCCCACTTTTTATGGTGTCTGAGTATAAAGTTTTGATGCTTATGCAGGGAGCAAGGGTTAGAGTCTTTATGTATCCAAGCAATATATGAGGTAATTTTCCCGTTTTATTGGTATCTTCTATTATTTTTACATTATCAATTGTTACCTAACTCTGTATGTTGGAAACTGATATTTATGTGTTGTTGCCAACCAAACTAGAGTACTCATTCTATTTGATTCTGAAACTCAGTGATATGAATACAATAATTGATGGATTTTCATCAATCAATCTCTTGCTCTGTGGGGAAGATGGGTCTTTCAACATTAATTTTTTCTAACTTACCAGCCTCTGAAAAGCATCAATTTGTTTTTATTCTAATTCAGTAATTTAATACAAACCTTAATTGAAAAAGATCTCTATTTGTTCGTGATGAAATTACGTTGCCTTTGATTCATAAATGTAAAAATCCGTGTACTAAAAGTAACATGCTTCTATAGTTTATGGTGCTTCCCTGTCCATTTTGAAGGAATATTATAATACTGGTGAAACCAAATTCTCCGACCAGATGATTTTTGAAAGTTTTCTTGTTTGAAACTAAAATTGCTTTTTCTATATTGTTTGTTTATGACGATTAATTGGTATTATATTCCTACCTTATCTCATTTGGTGCAATAACTCCACTGTATTATTGTATTGTCTCTGTTGTAAATCTGTCGAATTTCCTTGGTGCAATGTTAATTCTTCTCAATGATTGCACATAGTTCTTCTTGGGAACCGAGTTTTACATTCCCAGGATTTTATTTGTGCAGATAGCAAGTAAAAAACCTTTCTGCTTGAGCCTTCTCCTTTATCCATGGAGATCTGCTCCAATGTAATTGGATTACAGTTTCGTGCATTTTCTGAAAATTTGATTGTGCCTATATGTTGTGATGTTGCTGCTTTTGCACACGACTTTCTCATAGAAGTCGTGGTTAATCATAGCTTTCACATTGCCTCACAATTGATTGTCATTGTTTTTCGACCAAATGTTTTTTCATTGCTGACAATTCTATTCAAAATCCGTTGTATTTATTATTTTGCACGTGTTCTATATTTCTATTTCATTACTTGAAGTAACAAAGTTTATGACTTGAATACTTTTTCTTTGTAAAAAAGTCGCACACAGTTCTTCTTGGGAACCTAGTTCTACTAATCAATTCTCAGGATTTTATCTGTGCGGATAGCAAGTGAGAAACATTTCTGCTTGAGCCCTTTCCTTTATCCACGGAGATAGGCTCCAATGTAATTGGTTTACAGCTTCATCCATTTTTCTGATTAATTGATTATGTTTTCTTTTGTGCGTAAAAAAGGATTTAGAATGCATGGATAATAGTAGCTTTCACATTGCTTTTTATTGTTTGTCTTGATTTTTTATTGTAATTTTTTTGTTGGACTTGGATTCCTAAAGATATTACTTGATTGTACCTTGAATTGAGATTTTCCACAATTAGATCATGCTTATCTTGTGATTTTAATCATTGTTCATTTCCTTCATTTTTGTTGATTGAAGTCTGTTACATTATTTTTATGCATTGTGGTTGCTCTGCATTTTGTTATGTGATATTCTATTCAATCACGTGAGCATGATAAGACTAATACTTCTGGATACATAGTTCAGTTGATTGTAATAACTAGAACAGTACACGGAAAAAAACTCGGTAATTTATTTTTAGTTCACCTAAATTAATTGTTGATGGTTTTGCAGTAAAATTGAAACGATGTCATTAAAACTGTTGGTCGGGAAATAAAATTCCATTAAGTTGATACGCGGTACTTTGTTGGACTGTTTAATTACTAGTATAAATAGATTATAGATAATTGAATCTTTAAATTTAAAATGTGCGAATATTTATTAGCTTCTGTTTCCTATCAGTGCACTTAGGATGCTTTTGTTTAATCCTACATGACCTAGTTGACCCTGAAATTGCATGTTGGTTATCATTGCAGATTTTCAAGACCTGTGCCTTGTTTGTCGCTGGACATGAAGGAATTTTGCATTAATGGTGTTAAATTTTTATGTTTTGTGTAGCTTGAGTAGAGCAGTATCTTTGTTCTGATGGTGAAAGAACTGCATTTTTTTTTTAATTCTCACTGCCATGGCTATTTAAGATAATTATGAGTTTTGAATTCATATATAGATTATTCCATCCACATAATTGTTTCAGATTATGGTTAGTTTCGTGTCCATTTAAAATTGGAAATGAAATATTCCTGTAGTGGGAAAATTAGATAAAATATTTTTTAGCTTTTTATTCCCCACTTAAGGGAAATGTTATTTTAATTTGTTAAATTATTGGATTAAAATTTTTTATAACGAATATAATGTCGATCTCCTTGAAAATTCAATTGTTTAGTGTATAAAATAAATTGTCAACAAAAATTGATTGTGTTTTAATAATTTTTTTCCGGATGTATATTTCTGGAACTATGAACGCTGACTTTGCAATCTGCTATGAATTTAGCCTCCATAATTCGAGGCAACTTTTTATTGGTGTATTCATTGATTTAGTGTATTCTCAGCGGAAATTGTGTGGCAAATGAATAATAACGATAGGATTATTGTTCATGAGGTGGAGTAAAATTTGTCAAATTTGCCTTATATAAATTTCCTAATTGCATAGTGTAATAGTTTTTTTTTTTTTCGGTAAAGCGTGCAATCGTTTAGAAATGATAACATTGTTTAAAATTACTTTTATATTTAAACTAATTTGTAAATTATAATTTCTTTTGAAATGTATTTGGCGTAATTTCGGGAAATACTTTCGCAACATTTCACAAATTTAGGGACAAATGATAATACTTTCAATTCAGATTCAATATATCTTGCTCAATTTCAACAAAGTATGTTCAGTTTGTGTTTTGAGGATCTGTTGTTCATCTAAGTTTAGATGTTGATTCATTTCCTGACCGACGTGACCAAACGAAATAGTATATGCATGTTGGCAACAAATTGTGCAACCTTTGTTGACTTCTTCTCGAATGACGGATAAGTAGAAACCTAAAATAATTGTTTATCAAAGATTTTAGATATTATTAGTCTATTTATTTGGACCTATTGTTTGATATATGTAATGTTTGATTTGGTGGGATCGGGACTGAAACATAGCACATGTCATCTGCATTCAAAACTATTCCTAACTTTGACTAAACGGTTGGTTTATGCGTTTTACTTTCTTTCTTTATTTACTTTCTTTATTTTATAACAAGGAGGTATATGGGGTTCTATCTGCCACTTAACTAATTCTTTGTCATTAGGTTTACCATTCAGACAGAGATAGAGTGATATCATCGTTTGAGTCTTTATTCTGGAGATGAATTTCGGTATTTTATTAATAGACGCGTACTATATCACCCGTGGCAACGACTTTGGATGTTTTTGAAACCTTGAGTTGAATTTAACTAGAGTTAAAAAAAAAAGTTATATTTACAAATTTTTCCTTTTTTTATGTCAAAAATGTGTTTTTTTTGTTGTTATACTTAATTTTAATCTGGCATCAAACGTATACTTTATGTTCTTTCTTTATAATTACACACGTTAATCTCATCTTTATCTTGGACAAGGTGTAATACCCACGACGTTAGGTTGCTCTGCATTACCATGAAGAAATAAATTTGGACCTAACACTGCTTTGACTGTGTAAATGCATCGCCTGAATGGAGTTCTCGTAACCTATGAATATGACTGGAGCTTTCCTCCCTAGACAAGCACATCCAATGAATGGAGAAAACTAAATAAATTATTCGAATTTTTTATTTTTTATTTCTATTTTATTAATCGGTGTATACATTAAGAGAGCGCATTAAAAAAGTAACTTACGGATAAAGATGTTCCCTATTTAATTTTCTCTTCATTTATTTTATTATTATAATTTTGAAAACTTAACGTGTGCAAATTAGTTTTGTTCATAAATGAATAAAAAAATCTCCTTGTGCAAAAATTTAATGTACACGGTACAAAATAAAGAAATAGAATATAGTTATGTTTAGGTCGTTGATATTTTTTCCAGACGAAGGATTTCGTTTTCATAACCTTTTCTTTACTATCTTAATTCTCATTCGCTAATGTAAATAAAGATTAGATAGTTAACTTATTATAACAATTTTTCTATTTGATAATAAATTTGGTTTATTATCATAACTAGCATGTGATTTTGGTAGTCTTATAATATTTTTATTTGAATATTTTTAAAATTTTAATATAAATGTTTTTTTTATTGTGATTTATAGGTTTTGTCAATCATTTTTTTATTTATTTTGACCTAGTCCCCCCATTTTGTATTCCTTTTTAATATTTTTTTTACATAATTGGGTATGATGCAAATGATTGTTAGATTTTGGGTGTCAACATTATTGGAATATCATTATTTTATAGTGATGCAAGTCATGCCTATAATTTTCAAAACAAAAAAAAACACAAATAAATAGAAATTGGACTATAAAAAAAATAAGTAATCCTCCTAACATCCTACTTTCCTATTGAAATTTTATTTTATTTAAAATTATATATATAATATTTAGTATCGAATCCAATTTTCTTATATTTTAAGATAGAAAAATATTTCTATAATATAATTATCTATAAAAATTGAAAATCTGAAGAAGAAAAAAACAGTGACATAATTATAACATTCAAATTTATTTATAGTTTATTTATTATAAAAATTTAAAAGTAAATTTTATTTAATTATAAGACTAAAAGAAATAAAAGCAAAAATATATAAAGACTAAAATATAATATTTTTAATTATAAGTTTTAGGCAACAAGACCCTTAATGCTCGTTTGGATAGAAGAAAAGAAAAGAAAATATAAAAAATAAAAAAAAAAAAAAAACATCTTTTTTTTTTTTTTTTTTTACTTTCACTCCAACCAGACAAAAGAAAAAAAATCATAATCTGTGTTTTATTTATTTTCTATTTTATTTTCACTCAACCAAACATAGCATTAAAAAATAACATAAAAACAAATATAAAACTATTTAATAAACTATTTATAAAATAAATAAGATGTTATAGAAAAATAAGAGTTTACAGTAGTGAATGATTGGTATTTGGTGTGGAGCATTTACATTTCATTATCATCTCTTGCAATGGACCACTCACTGCATGTTCCAAGGAATCCCCCATCTCGCCATTGATGATGCTATTTTTCTTCACGGACAGACATGTATCACTATAAAAGGCATCATTTAATTATTACAGAATTTTATACATCTCCCTAAAAAATAATTCTCATATTATTTTTTAATTTAATCAGAATGGTTTAATAGTATTTTTTTATACTTTCAAGTTTTACCTAATCTATGTACTAAAGTACATAGTAAATAGTAAAATTAGTTTTTGAAATTGGTTATCGTTCTCTAAAAATGGAATATATTATTTATTTAAGTCTTTTAATTAAATAAGTTTTAACTTTTTAAATAGAAGTGTTTATGTGGTACAATAATATCATGTGACATATGTATGATACATATGTTAAATGATACATGTTACGTGGTTGTGTCACATAATATATATATTTTATGTGATATATGATTATAAAATATAATATTATTTTAATTTTTGAAATTATAATACTTTATTATTTTAGTCCTTGAAATCATAATTTAATGTTATTTTAGTCCTTAAAAATTTAACTTAATGTCACATTTAATCCAAAAATATTATCAAAATTTTATTTTAATAAATAATTCACAATGATTAAGAAAAAAATTTAGCTGCTCTAAAATGAGAAAATTTTACTTTAAAAAATAAGGTGTAATACTTGGAAAACAAACTTTTGTATAGTTGTATTTCAGTGTTATGCAAATTATCTTTAAGTTAATATGTCATTTCTCAAAAAAAAAAATTGTTTTAAATAATACTATCTTTTTATATATAAGACCTAAATACTTAATTCATCAAGATTAAGAAAAAGTTTTGATTGTTCTAAAGTAAAGACATTTTATTTTAAAAAATAAAGTACAATAATAACCATTAATTAAAAAAGTTAATGATAGATATTATAGTTAGTTTTAAATTTTATTATACATGTATTTAATTTTATCACAATTCTTCATTGTTAATTTTTTTTTATTAACGGTTATTATTGCATTTTATCTTCTAAAGTGCATCCTTTACTTTAGAGGACCTAAATCATTAAGAAAAATAATTAATTTAGTTGATAACAATAAATATATTATACTTTTATATTTTTTTCCAAAATTATCCTCGTATTACTTTTATCTATTAATTATTAATTAACTCTCTTAATCAATTAGAGTGTATACTCTATAATTAATAGATCAATCACTATAAATTGAGTTTTATAGAAAAATAAAAATTATTTTAAGTTAAATCTTATAAATAAGAATAGAGATAATAATATAATTTTAATAATTAATTGATTTAATAATATTTTAAAATATTATCAAAGTATGTAGTTAATTTATATGATTGTTTTAAAATATTGTCGAAGTATTTTAAAATTGTTTCTACAGATAGTTTTCGAAATTCAAGAAAACATTAATCAATAATATCATTGTTTATCTACTCCACCCAATTTTGAATATAAGAAAGAAATCATATTTATTTATTATAATAAAAACAAATCTCAACTGTAATTAATCTGCTTTATGTTATCATTTTTAAATACTCCTTCATTTAATTAAAATTATATTTTTAATATATTTTTTAATTTTTAATATCAAGTTTTAAAAAAATGAAAGTTTACAAATTTAGGTTATTTATTTTAAAAATATAGTTAATACAATCAAATGATATTAATTAACTTTCTTGATTTGTATGAATTATTTTTTTTCTTTCTTTTTTATGTTTAGAATTAGAAGGACTAATTTTTACTCTCTCTATTTTTTATTTATAGTCATTCTAATATTATTTTTATTATTTTTTTTATTATCACTTTTTTAAAATTAATGACTTATTAATTTTTTATTTTTATTTTTATTCTTGATAATTAATGTGTGTTTACTGAACAATATGTTTATTTATTTTTTAATATATTTATTTCTTTTCTAACCACCTAAAAAATATAATAAAAAAATAAATAATAAATATTTTAAAAAATTAAAATATCAATTATTTTCATAATTCTTATACATAATCTTAAACGTAAAAGAATTTACACAATTATCAAGAAAAAAAGGTAAAATTAAAAAGTTGATATCTATTCTACCTAG